GAGCATCGGGGCACGCTTTACCCTCCGGACAGAATCCCGCTAAGTAGTATTTGCAAAGTCGTCGCCGAACATGTCGCTTGGAGCACAAGGGGCCCAGCTCGCAGAAGCCCTGATCGTAGTTCTCACAGGGCGGCAATCGCGCTTGTTCCCGCACGTGCTGGTATAAACAATCATCGCCGTTGGGGCAGTAGCCTGATCGCGAGAAGGACTGGCATTCCGGCATGCGGCGGAGGTTGTATTCATGAAGATATTCGCACTTGAGACCTTTCTTGCAGAGCCCCTTGAGGAAGTGTTTGCAGACTAGGGAGCCATGGGTTGTAGAAGGCGCCAGCCCGGACGCTGTTGTGGTTGACGTTGTTACCCGCGAGGGTGTAGGATGCCGATCTGGGCAGGCTGGTCCTAAGGGGCAATGCCCTTCACTGTAGGCTTTGCAGACGGGTACGTCGCTCGCGAGTCCAAAACCGAAGCTTTGGCGGAGGAAGGGAGTGAAGGAAAAGTTGTTGTAGCTCGGATCTCGAGAGCTATCGGTGGATAGGATCCGTGCCGCAGCTGATTTGACATCTGCTGTCATGGTGGTTTATAGCTCGCAAAATACGAATTTGAAGAGAGTGACCAGCGGCTTTCACCAGGCTCGTTGGCCACGGTATGCGTTCAACAAAATGCTGCTCCTATTGTGACTGCCCAGTCTTGATAGTCAACTTGATGTTAAGTCCTGCGGTGCTAGTCAAAATGACCGTATGGAGAAGAGTGGTAGAATTCAGTAGTTGTAGAGGTAAAATAACTAAAGGATAGTCATATCACTGCTAATTCTATGCCTGGGGCATATATACACTAGTACGAATATAGTAGGCGGTGGCAAACAGTATTACTAACATTGGAGCAGACTCGGTAACTAGTTAGTAATCCGGGACGACATGAATGAAACGCAAGTCTTTTCATTCTTGTGCTGATGCATCAAGAATGTAACAATGTCTGGGGTAGTCTCGTGGTTTTCTCTGTGAAACAAAGACACCATTGACTTTTGCCCGTTCTCTGGACTAGGGAGCCAATGAATAACCCACATTGTCCCGCGGAAGAGAATTCCCCCTGCATATGGTCGATTTTGGCAATTTCAAAGTGCGAAGTCATTATGGATAGCTAAAAGGCGCATATATAGGGCGCAAGGGGCAGTTGTTACCAAAAGGTCTGTGCTATGTCCGGCCAGAAATACAATATGGTTCTATCTCAGCGGTTGCTATCCATTGGTCGGTCTCATGAGAAGAACCTTCTCACGTCCCAACCTCAGTCGCTTGAGACATGTAGATTCTTTGTTCTCTATCTAGCTCCAAGTTCATTCAATCATTTTGGCTCTTCTCTTCACTGTGGAGACGGTTGGAAATGTCGGGGCTGATTGTGGTTGATTTCTAAAACTCTGGCCCCGAATGAGTACCTATGGTGTCGCCTGGCTGCCTGCTACCAAGCCTAACATAAGTACCGATTACAACGGAGTGAACCCCCACAGAACACTCTGTCAAATCTCCTCCTCCATCTCTTCTTCCTTGCATGGCACCTTGAGAATATCATGCATGGCCTCTCTTTCGGTACAAGTTCACTCGCTGGGCTCCGAGATCTGTTTATGTTCGATAACAAGGATGGCTTATGATTATGCTAATAGTCTGTCACTCATCCGGGGATCAAATTACTAGTTTGAGGCTTGTATCGTACCCGACTAGCCAGAATGAGGGAAAAGCAAATATGAGGAGGCTTGTGGGAGCCAAGGGCCACGGAACAAATTAACATCTTTCACATGGTCTGATTCTCAGTTACCTTTCCCAGTTCCTCGAAATTAGGCCAAAAGTCATAGAGGTGTACCTGTGAAGATATTGCGGACCTACATGAGCATGATGTACAGTCTTCCCCTACCCAGCTCACATTCACAGTACTGGGAGCGAAATGATCACCAGGGTTTAAAATGAGGCCAGCTGGGCCTCATTCTCTAGGCAATGCCGCAATGGATATTGCCACCAGTAGAATAATAATGCAATACGTGTGGTCAGGTTCACACCGGGAGAAGCCAAAACGAGTCATCCCAGCTCTGTGAAGCCGAATCCAGCAGAAATTGACGAAGCTTTCAGGATACCTAATGATAATCCCCCACTAAGCTTTGATCGCACAAGGAGCCATTGGACCTGAGTCTAAAAAGGCGGGGCTAGACATGATCATCCGGGGCGTTTGGACCCTACTGGACCAGGTCACGAAGAGGATTTCCCTGTTGTCTGAGTATGCTGATTCGATGGATCAACTCAGTGTCCTAAGCCTTGTCTGCAAGCTCTCGCCGCATTGACGCATGTATTTTGCGTCTCCTGTGAAAGTAATGCTTGCGACTTAAGGAGATTGAATCGGCCACTGAAACCAAAATCAATATGGCGGCCAAGTGTGGAGGTGGAGGGTCGCCATATTGCCGTCTACCTATTCCGCAGCGTGGATGTCTGTATGATGTATCATGCTTCGCAGTAGCTCGCTGACAGTCAAAGCTCTTTGGATCTAGCCCCAAATAAACCTCGACGGATCAAGCAAGCGATTTCGGATGCTTGCCATGGAGGAGCGTTGGCCATTGGTTGCCTTTTCGGCCGCTGCATCGAGGGGTTTCTCCGTTCCTGTCGTCCATTAACTAGCACTTTTGGTCAACGTAATTGTAGTGTAGTGTAGGAGTAACATGACTCTCTGATGGAGTTATGCAAGGTCAGACCCCAGAAAGGACTTCCCACACGTGACACTGTCAACACTTTTGGCAGCTGCTTCTTACTCCCTCAGTTGCATATATTCAACCTCACTTCGAATGGTTTTCTCTATTCCCGTAAATCCTCTTCAGCGTCTTCGTCGATCTGTGAGAATATCTACAGATCCGGCGGCAACCCTGCCGAGTTTCGTCGCATTATGTTCTCAGGATCCATCTTCCCCCACTGGCGTCGTAAGGCGGCACAACGGTCCAACAATTTCAGCAGCTCGTACGAAGTCCCGTTCTTCATGAACGCAGCCTACTATGCGAATTGGAGGATCTATCGAAAACAGCCTCCGTCGTCCTTGAGATTGGGATTCATATCTCATATCTTCTATGCATTTGCTTGGTACTAGTCATACACACAGCCGAAGCGATTAATCGCCTGATCTAGGTAGATACAAATGTTAACCATCATGTCTTGCTTTCTTTTAGGGTCAAAGAAGACGGCACAGTTTATGTGAATCCCCAACCCGGACTTGATATTTCTTCTTCTGTCCTTTATTACTTTTCTCTCTTCTTTCCACCTTTTATTGTCTTACCCCACTGACAAGTTGTTTGTGCAGTTGAGCGATGAATGGGCCGACTCTCAGATGCCCGTCGACGGCACCAATGGCTGCCTCCGGGCATTCACACAACTCAAAGCACAATACTCGAAGATGAAGGTCATCCTCTCAGTCGGAGGAGGAGGCAAGGGGAGCGAAAATTTTGCCACAGTAGCGCGGAGTCAAACCCGCCTGGAGACCTTTGTACGGACCGCGAAGGAACTGGTAGACGAGTTTGGACTCGATGGAATTGACAGTATGTAGCACCATATGTTCAAAGCCGTTCAGGATGATGCTGACGCTCCGCAGTCGATTGGGAGCACCCTTCAAGCCCCGCCGAGGGTTCAGACTATGTCCGTCTTCTTGCCCGGTTGCGTGAAGTTCTACCCTCACCACGCTATGTGCTGGCCACATGCCTTCCAGCTGGTGAATGGGCCCTGCAAAATATAGATCTGTGCAAGGCGCAGAACTATGTCGACCTGATCAACATCATGGCGTATGATTTCTCCGGACCGTGGACCAGTGAAACAGGACACCAGTCGCAGCTGTATAGCCCATCTCGAGACCCAACAGGGGCGACCTCGTGTCAGTCGGCCATTGCGTACGTAATCGCACAAGGCGTCAACCCCAAGAAGATTCTACTTGGGATCCCAGCGTACGGTCGCTCTTTCCTAGGCAGTAATCACATCGGTCAGCGTTACAGTGGTTGCGGCGGGGAGGATGGTGTCTTCGACTATTGCGACCTACCGCGGCCGGGCGCGAAAGAGTATTATGATGAAAAGTTCGGCGCTGCCTGGTGCGTTGGCGGCGATGGCGGGTTTGTCACATACGACACCCCGGAGACGGTGCAACAAAAGGCCAAATTTGCGACCAAGACCAAACTGGGGGGTCTATTTTATTGGCACATCGGAGGTGATGCAAGGGGGCCCCGCAGCCTGATTGAGACGGGGTATAAGACCTTGCATGATATGTGATCTGGGATATCCAACTCAGTCAAAGGCGGTTTGGACGTTTGTTTGTGCAACATCAGCGAGGAATCGAAAAACGGCGGAACGGGAAAACGGGAGGCATCGTCTGTTTTGTATCTCTAAGTAGCGAGTTTTGAAGTTCATTCCGATGTGAAATTATTAAGTTGATATCGCTTCCTACTTATACCGTCAACAATCCCTGTCAATAGGTGGGTTATTAGCCGATAACAAAAGTAGACGATCAGACTTCAACCGTGCGTCGATCGTCCACGCGATACGCCACTCCATCTCATTCGTCTCTCGAAGCCTTATCATTCGTCGGCAGCAGATAGATCCGATCCTGACCCTGATCACTACTGCAGCAGTACAGAGTACGTACTCCTAGTACTCCAAAGGTATGACTAACAGGGCCCGGGCGGCTGATGTAGTCCGTCGAGATACGGTGTAGATAGACCGTACAATGAGGATATCCGCCCAGCTATGGCGTGATGAACTACACCACCTCTAATATAATGGAGAAACACTGATTCCAAAGTCTGATTGGACGTCACCTTTTGTCAATAACAGGGGTAAGTGATATAATCATCTAGGGTATTATTAAATCGACGAGGCTATAACAGCAGCGGGACAAGTGCCATTACATTAACTTATATTATTTCTATAAGCCATCAAAATCCTGTCTATGGAAACCACAAATGCCACTCGAAAGAAAGAAAGAAAGGGACACAATCAGGCAACCCCATTCTTCGCAAACGCCTCCTTGATCTCCTTGAACCCCTTGTTCTCGGTAAGCAGCAGACCGAGCAGGATGCGCGCTTTCTGCGGGTTCAGGAAGCCGCTCTCGATTGTGGTTGTGCTGTCCGTGAGGGGGACTTCGCCGTTGCCTGTGCGGGAGCTTAGGACGATAGGGAGGCGGCAGTGGGTGGAGGTGATGTCGTCGATGGCGGCAGAGAAGGTAGTTGAGACGCTTCCTGCGCCGGAGCCGGCGATCTGGATACATTTTTTAGCATTTGATTCGGGGAAGGTGGGGAAAGGGACAAGGACTTACGACGATGCCCTTTGCGCCGTTGTCGACGGCGTCGTAGAGCGTATCGTTGTGCATATCCTGGTACGAGTAGAGGATGTCGACCCGTGGGATGGAGGCGACGTTGCGCACGTCGAAGATGGTCCTACCGGTGGGCATGACGGGCGGGTAGAAGAAGTACGGCTTGTTGGAGACGACGGCGCCGAGGTTCCCCATCTCGACGGCCTTGAAGGTGTCCATGGTGTTGGCGTTTGTCTTGGAGGCGTAGAAGGCGGAGACGATGCGGTCGTTCAGGACGACCAGTGCGCCGCGGTTGCGTGCGGTGGGGTGCGCGGCGACGGTCACGGCCTGGAGGAGGTTGAAGGGGCCGTCGGCGGAGATGGCGGTTGCGGGCCGCATGGCGCCGACGACGACGATGGGCTTGCCGCAGTTGACTGTGGCGTCGAGGAAGAAGGCCGTCTCCTCGAGCGTGTCGGTGCCGTGGGTGATGACGGCGCCGCTCATGGTGGGGTCGTCGCAGACGACCTCGTTGAGGGTCTTGGCCATGCGGAGCAGAAGGGAAGACGTCACGTCGGGGCTGCCGACGTTGGCGACTTGGATGCCGGCGACGTTGGCAACGTTTAGCATCTCGGGGACGGCGTCCATGAGCTTCTGGATGCCGATCGCGCCGGACTTGTAGCCTGTTGTGGCGGTGTTGTCGGCGCTGGAGCCGGCGATGGTGCCGCCGGTTGCGAGGATGGTGACATTAGGGAGCGTCGTGTTCATCTGGGTGAAGTTCAAGCCATGCGAGTTGGTGAAGACGTATTTACTGTTTGAGTCGGTTGCTCGGGGATAGAGAACCGGAGAGGCACTCCCAACGGCTACCAAAGCCGCGAGTGTGATAGTCTTGAAGCTGAGTTTGGTCATTTTTGCGATGTGACGAGACAAACTGCTCTGCTTCGATGGATTGAAGTCGCTGTACACGCCAGGCAACCGTACCAGCAACGCATCGTAGGACATCCATCCTTAAATAGGCACCCTCCTCAACATTCAACCGTGGACCGCACGGTAAACCAGGAACCGAGACACTGTCCAAGACTCACTCACGATTACCCTGATAAGGAGGTATCGTCGCAGTACCGCTGTGATCTCGTAATGAGAATCCATATCAATTGGAGTCATTTCGAGGAACCAAGTGAACCTTGACTCCAATTCTGCTTGGCATAAGGTATTTATCTGCAAAAGGAAGCCCGGAACCTAACTCGATGCAGGAACCAGGATAAAACAGCGCTCCAATCTGTTAATAATTGGCTCCTTGCCAAGAGAGAGTCGTTATCATCCATCAGCGATAAGTGTTGGTTGGCGATTTGGAGAAACATCGGAGAATCCATTGCATTGGCATTACTGATAAGATCGGCGCATGGTTGATTCTCGGATCTCTCAACCCGAAGTGCCCAAATGATGCGGAGGGATGATACGTCTCCCGATCTATTTAAGGTGGGTAAAGGTCGTGCCCGTGGTTGAATTATTCGCGTTTCCAGTAGACGCCTTATCGCCTCAGGCACAACCCGGGATCATCCGCAACCAAGTGCGTTTCCATGAAACTGTTTCTCTTTGGAGATTAGTTCAAGCATATTACTCCAACGGACTGGTCTTTTTAATATCCGCCATCCAGATTGCGAGGTCGTGTTCAAAACGCCCTGTCTCCTTTGCACTTACGGTTCTCGCTTGATTGGTTCAAAGCTGGCTACAAATCTCGGAGTCAACCTTCGAAGCGATGATAGGTCATGGAGCAGCACGAGAAGATAAGGTATCATAAGGTATGTATTTGCGTCCGTCACTGTCGGCGATCACTACCGCATGGTCAACATAACGAGTCAAGAAGAAGATGTGCAGCAATAAATGGAATAGATCCATCCACTCGTCATAACATTAGCATATATGTATCAACACTGGATTGTACATGTGGCCCGGTAAGGCAAGAAGTGAAAAGAAAAGCTCAGTGGTATATATATCCAGCGGTAAGGATGCCTCTTGACAACGTCACCAATCGATTAGGTCAGCAACTTAGCAAGGTCCAAGGTCACATTAAGTGTATTCGATGCCAGGGCCTCGCTAAAGTACGAGATGGCTTGGCCGTTGTAGACGCTCGAGTTTGTCGAGCTTCCTGAAATCGCCACAGGGATACCGTTGGGGTACTTCGTGAAGAATGGTCCGATTGCCGTCAAGTCGACGGCGGATGTCATGGGCAGGGTGTTGTTTCCCGGAACCAGCTTCAGGTCGTTCAAATATGAGGTACCAATGGAGGTTCCTTCGACGGAGAGGTCGAGGGTGACATTGCCCTACGTCAATCAGTCGACGCTACATTGAAATAAAGAACGCAACGTACCATGCTGATTGTCATCGGCGATGGGTTGGGGATGTACACGGTTCCACCAAAATTGGCGCCATTCGACGATTTACCGGTCAAGACATGCATTTCCGTGATGGCGAAACCGTCGAGCTTGTTGAGAGCTAGAGTTTGCACAATCAGCTTTGTCCGACCCTAGGGGTTTGACCGAGCCCCGATCACTTACCCTTCATAGTAACTGTCTTGTTGTACGTCACACCGATTTTAGGCAGGCCAGCCTGCTTCAGGTCGGGCTTGCCATAGATGTTCAATTTGATCTCCTCATTCTGCATGACCGCCGTCGCAAATCCTCCAAAGGCACCCACATCGCTCAGGTCCAGGGACTGGCTGATATGAACCACAGTACCGTCATTGGCCTTGACCTGGGGAACCCTTACGGTTGCGAACGACGCAGCCCCCAGCAAGCTGACAGCAGCATCAAAGGCATAGATCGTAGGATGGAATATGCTGTGGGAGCCGATGACCTGTGTCTGGTTCAAGGAGAATGAATTCGGCGTGGGATCGGAGATGATCATCTCCTTGACCTCCAAAGTGGAATCATTGATATCGCCTTGTGCGATGTTCGGATAGCCAACATACACTCTATTGTCTTGTCAGCTCCGAGCCCTTTTTTCTTTCTAATGTATCACGCAGACGAGAACATACAAGGGAAGTGTCACCACCAGGACGACCACAATGATCACGATGAGATGAACCCACCACCACCGCTTGTAGTGGTTGAGCACACGTCTCCCAAAGCTCGGTTTGGGCAACGAGCCTTCCACAAACCCAACCTCGGAGACTTCTGGCTTACCGCTGGCCATTTCGGATCGCTACTGTGCTTTCTGTAGCCTGTCCGACGCTCTGACGTATGACCGGGATGGCGTGTGACACAAACGGTCTATCCCCGGTGCGTCAGTATATAGAAGTGGTCGAAGATTCAGACGTCTAACAGTGCACACCCTGTTCAGATGATTAGCATCAATTCAGAATCAGAACAACGTTATAGTCAATGATATACCGAGTCATGCATCAAGAACAAAGCAAGGCCGTTGAAATTTATTGGAGATAATAGGGACACAGAAAAAAGACGGGGTCAAAAAAAAAAAAAATTGCCTCCAAGAGAGAAAACTACCTATTTTAGTTCGTTCACCGAAGGGGGAAGCGAAAAAAGTACTAAGGACGAATGGTCAAAGTCCAGAATCTAGACGACGGACCAGCCAGTCCCTAGGGACCCGTCAAGTGCTATATCTACTCCCAAGGAGGGGCGAGGTTCCGTCACATGTAGAAAAATACAAAGCAACCAGATTCAAGCACCGCGGATCTTTCTACCTGACGGAGATGAATTCTGACCAATGTCCGGAGACTTGTACAGAAACATTCCCCCTTCCCGACTGCTTAACTTTGGATCTTGTGGAGAAAAGGGGGGGGGGAGCTAAGTGACTGGGGTTTTCACGCCAGGACACAAGGTGCTAGAGACTAGAAGAGAGAGATGGGTACCAGATAAGGAGCACGGCGAGGACAATTACGGGATACCTCGTAGATTAAATGAGAGGACCTCGGCGGATGAGGGAGAAGCGAGCATGAGACAGAGCCATGGCCACGATCAGGCTGATGAACAGCAGTTTATGGCTGGTGCATCACGATTTGCGTTAGCTTTGCGAGGCATGTTCCCAATCCAGCCGAGGCTGAAGGGCGTCGAGGGTGGCTTATTTGCAGACTCTTTCCCAGGAAGCATAATCCTGGGTTTTTTCGCAACATAACAGTCGGAATTTGATTGGATTGGATGCGATTGACAGTCCTGAGTCCAAACGAGGGGCGACTTGTACTGCTGTAAGGTGGCAGGGACTAGAGAGGTACTAGTCCAGCCATCGCCGTACCCTGGACGCAAGGCCCGGATAGTGTGGATGGGAGGGTCCAATCCTACCTCTCGTAAAGAAAGTCCAATTTCCCCATGGTCGATCTTAGCTAGGGAGAGAAAGTCTCAGGAATTGATTGGACTGGAAGGCCGGCGTAGAGAGGAGAAGTGAGACCAAGTGGGTTGGAAAACATGAAATGAATAAGAATGATGGAGGCAACGGGGCCAACAAGAGCAGCCAAGACAAAAGCAACCACAAGAAAAAATGTTGCTTATTTTGGGTATGTTCGCGGGGGGCGCAAAGGGCGAACAAGCCAACCGCTAACAAAGTGCACAGACTAAGAGAGCCGGGATGCGTGACCTGGGGTTACAGGCGGAATGGCTGTTTTAGGCGATTCCTCCGCGCGCCAGGCTGAATACGAGTCATCTTCCCTGGTTAGTAACTTCGGACGAGCTTCAAACTCGCCAATTAAGATTTTCATGGTTTTCGGATTCTGAGCAACCATCAAGTCATCTCAGAGGCGGTGCTGATTCGACGACAAAGGCTCCGAGACCTGGGATCGATCGACAGTCGCAAATGGAAGACCAACTGATTACCTCAGATCATCAGTTTCATGTTAGAGAGTTATCATCCATCGAGTGGATTTAGGACTTTATGGCGCCATATTCCTAAAGGTTTGTTACAAACTAAAGATAAAAATAATTGCATTAGCCACACCTGAGACGATGATCTACATAAACGGTCAACCTAGGATTCCCCTGCTGATGGGAATTTCGGGTCATACGAAAGACGCCAATCATCTGCAGGTCTCTGTCGTCAGCATTCTAGCAGTCCACTTTTATCCAGTGACTCGGATATGACCGTCAATGAGTATGAGGGCAAAATTGCCAATAAGAGCTGCTGTGTAACCATATTAGGAGGGAAAAGGTCTTTTCACAATTCTACCAGCCTATCCTGCGCTTATACTATAGCTTAGTAGACGACTGTTAGCAGATATAAAGCACATAGCTACGCTGTTGGAAATGTCACAGAGCGTTCCAGAACTGGGCCACCAAGGCCTCCTGTACAGAAAAACATTCAATTAAGTTTGAGTATCATGAGGATCGTCAGGTATAAACTTTGCCAGAATATACATCGCCAGCTGAGAGAAGAAGAGGAAAAGGTGAAGAAGGGAAAAATAAAGAAAGGGAAAGGCACGAATTGTTGGAAAGAAAGACAAAATAAATTGGGAAAAGGTGATGGAAGGGGACAGCATCACACAGTGATTAGAAATTATGGGTATCCAAGAGTCAGAGGCAAAGCTCACAAAGCAGCCCAAATGGTCCATGACAGACTTCGCAGCACCCAGGCCAGAGTCGACTGAGGCAGCCGGCAAGTCCTGCTCGGACCTCAATAATGAACAGGAGAATGGAAGAAGAAGTTGATGAAGTGACAAAAGGTGAAAATGAACAAAGTGAAAAGCATCACGAGCATCAGCTCTAGACGATGCATTCACACGAATGCAAGAACAGGCTTCAACTCAGCGAGGTGGCAGTACACCTTGTTGCTGAGCTGTAATAGTCAGATGGGACAAAGCGTAAAAAGGAACAGAAGTAGAACGAGGGAGGGAAAGAAGAAGATATAGAGAAAATGCTCAAGGAACGACAGCGAAGGCTTTTCTGTTTCCTGACAAATGGTGG